GTCTTTTTGTTTGTCTTTACTGTCTTTAGATCTGAACTTGAACTGAACTTAAACTGAACTAGAACTGAACTAGAACTGAACTAGAGAACTCTGAACTAGAACTGAACTAGAACTGAACTAGAACTGAACTAGAACTGAACTAGAACTGAACTAGAACTGAACTAGAACTGAACTAGAACTGAACTAGAACTGAACTAGAACTGAACTAGAACTGAACTAGAACTGAACTAGAACTGAACTAGAACTGAACTAGAACTGAACTAGAACTGAACTAGAACTGAACTAGAACTGAACTAGAACTGAACTAGAACTGAACTAGAACTGAACTAGAACTGAACTAGAACTGAACTAGAACTGAACTAGAACTGAACTAGAACTGAACTAGAACTGAACTAGAACTGAACTAGAACTGAACTAGAACTGAACTAGAACTGAACTAGAACTGAACTAGAACTGAACTAGAACTGAACTAGAACTGAACTAGAACTGAACTAGAACTGAACTAGAACTGAACTAGAACTGAACTAGAACTGAACTAGAACTGAACTAGAACTGAACTAGAACTGAACTAGAACTGAACTAGAACTGAACTAGAACTGAACTAGAACTGAACTAGAACTGAACTAGAACTGAACTAGAACTGAACTAGAACTGAACTAGAACTGAACTAGAACTGAACTAGAACTGAACTAGAACTGAACTAGAACTGAACTAGAACTGAACTAGAACTGAACTAGAACTGAACTAGAACTGAACTAGAACTGAACTAGAACTGAACTAGAACTGAACTAGAACTGAACTAGAACTGAACTAGAACTGAACTAGAACTGAACTAGAACTGAACTAGAACTGAACTAGAACTGAACTAGAACTGAACTAGAACTGAACTAGAACTGAACTAGAACTGAACTAGAACTGAACTAGAACTGAACTAGAACTGAACTAGAACTGAACTAGAACTGAACTAGAACTGAACTAGAACTGAACTAGAACTGAACTAGAACTGAACTAGAACTGAACTAGAACTGAACTAGAACTGAACTAGAACTGAACTGGAACTGAACTAGAACTGAACTAGAACTGAACTAGAACTGAACTAGAACTGAACTAGAACTGAACTAGAACTGAACTAGAACTGAACGAACTGAACTAGAACTGAACTAGAACTGAACTAGAACTGAACTAGAACTGAACTAGAACTGAACTAGAACTAGAACTGAACTAGAACTGAACTAGAACTGAACGAACTGAACTAGAACTGAACTAGAACTGAACTAGAACTGAACTAGAACTGAACTAGAACTGAACTAGAACTGAACTAGAACTGAACTGAACTAGAACTGAACTAGAACTGAACTAGAACTGAACTAGAACTGAACTAGAACTGAACTAGAACTGAACTAGAACTGAACTAGAACTGAACTAGAACTGAACTAGAACTGAACTAGAACTGAGCTAGATCTGAACTAGAAGTGAACTTGAACTAAACTACTGAACTAAACTAGAACTGACCTGTGTAATTAAAAATAATTTCACTAAGGGTGGGGTTATCGAAACGCTCTACAAAGTCCTTAAGATAGGTGTAGCCCTATATAAAGTTTTTCCGACCAGCACTTTTCATATTAAAAAGCGAAAGTGGGTGTATTTTGTCTTCAACATACATTCAAAACTTAAACTACAAAAACTTTCTCTCATATCGAGTGAAATTTTATTGAAATCAAATTTAGAAATTACCTCAATGAGTCCGTATATATTCAATATTCTCTCAGTCGCAGTCGTTATTCAAAATTGTCTTACTATTCATTGCATGTTATGCTCATTATAATATTAAAAAAACATTTACTTTGAGAGTATTATTTTAAAATATTCCTTTATTTAATTGGATTATTCCACATAACAAAATGTCTGGAAATATAAACACGTTTTTATGTTAAAAAGAAATACACAGCTGACTTTAATCTATATTTTATAATAAAAATAATAAACAAAAATATGTAGATTACCATTTTCCCATATCAAGATCATGTTAATATGTATTCAATGAAAAAAATGAAATAAAATTAAAATCGATCATGTTCGCTGAAGTGTAAAACAGTAAAAAATTTTAAATAAATTATTAAAAATAAAAAAATCAAGCTAATAAATAAATGTTATTAATGGTAAATAAACATCTTTAAACACATAAGTTATAAGCAAACGTTATATATTTTAGAGAAGCTTATTTTAGGAAACAGGATACACTCTCTATCTTCCACCTCTCAAACGAAAAAAAAACATATTAATTAATTAAATGTAAACATATTTAATATATATTTATGTTATGCGCGATTGCATCTACCAACAAATTGTTTAAATATCTACATAAAAAAAACTCATATATAAAACTTACAATAAGAACATTATTATATTGTGCTTTTAGCGTTTGAGCAAATGTGAACGAATATTTTTTTATCATGAAATTAATCAATCACTACGTATGAGTAATTTATTTAGTTATTTACTCACATATCACTCATACGCAGTGATAATTTAATATGACACTTTTTCATATAATTCTTTTTCCTTTGTTTACCTTCATTCAATAACTAATAAACGCATATTAAATTATTCAACTTGTAATTGGTTTATAAAAATAATTTTGGAGATTCGATAAAAAGTATAACACTAGCAAGCAATTTTTAATTAAAATGTAGTTATTGCACGTGGTAGGTTTATTTATTTTATTTGACTTTAGGACGTTCTTTCAGCTTCGTGAGAAAGGTATATATATGTATATGGTTGTCATTCCGTTTTCACAATACAAAATATATATGTATTTTTTGGATCCTTATAGATAGCGGAGTCGATTAAGCCATGTCCTTCCGTCTATCGGTCTGTCCGTCTGTGTGTCTGTTGAAATCAATTTTCTGAAGACCACAGATATCTTTGGGATCCAGATCTTCAGTGATTCTACTAGACATTATTTCATGAAGTTTTCTATATAAAATCAGCAAAATCCGTCCATAAATAACGAATCCGAGACAACCTCTGAAAATGTCATCAAAAAAGAAATTTTTTTGCATGCTTTGACAAAAAAGCTACAACAACAACAATATTGGAAAAAACGTATGTTTGGATGCGTGTTGGTTTATTGCTTTGTCGTATGACTAATTGGCTTTATAAAAGTGTAATTAGATCAATTATAGCTTATACTTCAATAATCTGATGGACTGCATTGGACAAAAAGTGTAAGCGGCGCTTACAGCCGAACGGCTCTTTACTTTAGGCGAACTGACCAAAATCGGTTATAGGACACGTCATCAATGTCTACAGGACAAATTGGAAGGTTATACACAATCATCGGACGTGCATGATCGCATACCAGATACAGAATATGTCGGAAACTTTGATACGCTGATCCCAGATAGAATGTCTTGGTCAAGCGGAACATTAGCAAAATACCAGTAGGAATCCGCTGTTACACGGATGGCTTTAAATTTAGTGGATAAAGTGGGGTTATATATTGAAGACCCCGTTTACCTAATCATAACACAAGCTTCCAGATAGAAGTCCGTGCAATAACGGAATGCGTTAATTGGATTAGAATAAATATGTCGCCCTTAATATATTTACCGACAACCAGAAGGCAATTAGGGCGATATCGGGTGATAGAATTAAATCTATGACCGTATTGAATTGTAAGAAAGCTTAAACTAAATACTCTCCCAGAGGTAAGGTTTACATCATATGGTTGTCAGGCCACTAGGGAGTAGTAATAGCTTTAAAAGGAAGGGAGCTCAAGGCAGTTAACCTGACAAACGCAAAACCATTCGACGCAACAAAAGCTGAATTAAAAATATGAGAATCCCATAAGACCTCTTGGAACGGTGGGTAGAACGACAAAGATCCTATGGGGTGACCCTGATTATAGTCAGATGAGAAATCTCTTCAAAATCTGCATGTCTGAAGTTAGTATGATGGTACGTATTCTGAGTGGACGTTCGGATTCCAACGAATGTAGAGCATGTGGAGAGGATAGTGAAACTCTGTAGCACTTTCTTTGCTACTGTCAAGCATTCGTCGAAGTTAGATCCAAGTATCTTGGAAGTGATGTTATTCCGGAAATAACATTCCTAAAGCTATGTATACACGGTTGTCAGATCTTACAACGTTGTCAGTAAAATGTGCAGAAAATGTCTAACAACGGCGTCAATTTACAAATTTTATCTTGCAATATTGTCAGTAATGCTTTTTCCAACAACGTTGCAAAAGAAAAATTGCAAGTTCACACGATTGTTGGACATTTTCTGCACATTTTACTGACAACGTTGTAAGATCTGACAACCGTGTATCAGAGGTTTAACTAACACTGATTGGAAGATGCTTAGGAATTACGTCCAGGAAACTGAGTTTCTGAAGAATGTTTTTTTTCATGAAAAGGAATACACAACAGGCCCGATAGTGGCCTATGTGTATTTCTTCGGATTTGATGTAGTAACCTAGGAAAAATATATAATGAAGATGGTAATTGATAGAAAAAAAAACAGATATCAGTTTCGGTATCAGCAGCTAAAGATACAAATCAGTCGAATTGGTTTCAAAAGTTTTTACAAATCTTCATTTCATTGGTCTGTGTTATCGGCTCATGCAAGGCACATTTTCGAACAACTTGTTTATAAATATCGACATCCAGATAAATTTCAAATAACTTTATTATTTCGTTCAATAATTGGTTTTTAGTTTCCATACAAAACTAAAAAAACAGTTACAGTTATTATTCTAATTAAGAAATCCTAAAAAGTCACGTTGTATTTATTTTTTGATCTAATTAATAAAAGAGTTTGAAAATGAAATAAATTTCCACTCGCACTCTTTCATCCATTAAACAAAATATTCCAAAAGATAAATACACAAACTCAATTTATTTTAAATCAAATTAATTACTCTAACAAGTATCTGCAAAACAACAATGAATACAACAAAAAAACACTTTAGGGGAAGATCTTAATTACGATACTTACAAATAAATTGCTGTTTTAAATTAATCCAATAAACGTTAAAAATAAGACAGCTACAATTCAATTGCGGCCGGGATGTTTCAAGTAGGTGGTTTTATTTATTTTTTTGACACTTATGCACAAAAAAGAAGGACCTTAAATGTTACAAAATGTTGTTAAACAGGTTATAAATCAAAATGTTAATTCACAGGCAAACAAATTAAAAAATTGTTATTGTCTGTTTTCGATTCGCTCGTTGTTCGAAATAAATTGCACACACGTTTGTTGTTAAAATTAACAAATTTATTGCGACAGCAAAAGATACAAATTGCCTGCCAGTAAAATTACAGAATGATATTAGAAAACAACAACAACAGATTATTTGGAAATACGGTTTCTTTTATAAAAACTCACAAATAACACGCACACAATGGACTACCGCAAAATGTTAAGGTTCGTGTTGGATTTTTTTTTACACTCAATTCCTGAAGGGTCTAAAAAAATATTTCATTAACTTTAAATAGGTGTAAGATAAAAACCACCTACAAAACTAACACAATAAATCCAAATTTGTGGACTGTTTATAGGACTGTTATATTTTTAAATATTTTAAAAATAACTTTTAATTCACACACATACACGCTATACAGGTCACGTTATTAATAAATTAGTTTAGTTTTTTTCTTTTTCACAAGCTAAGCGCGTAAAATATAACAATTTATTTTTATTATTTTTTGGTCACTTTTATTTTCTATTTTTTTATAATCCTGCCGCGATGGTATTTGAAAAAAAACGAACGCAACAGGCTGACAACGTAAAGATAACTCAGGTTGAAATGCTTCGGCGACTACGTTTTATATTCAAAATCAGTAAAATGTTTAACCAAAAACAACAAAAAGAAAAACACAACAGCAACAAGAACTAAAAGTTGTGAATGCGAACAGCAGCAACAATAACACCAACAGCAACAACAACAAGTACATTAACAGAAGAAACACATTTTAAAAACTTAGAATTCACAAACGAATAGCAAATGTTTGTTGTAGAGCATGCGTTCTTCACTGTATGTGTTAAAGGAAACGCACACATACATACACACATACGTTTACATCGCACTATACAGTATTACATTGATATAAGTAAAACATCCTGTTGCGTATGAAATAGAACATGTTTATTTTTTAAGTTAAATGTTGCTAAACAATGTTGCAAAACATCATTTTTGGTATGGAGGCAAAATATTGGGTAAACAGTGGTTGCAAGAGATTTTTTAAACACTTCGAAATATTAATAGTAGAAGGCCTTTTCTACGTTACCAGGTCCATTTTCTTCTACAGATTTCTAATACGACGGAGTATTTGTTAGAAGTATTAGTACCTTATTATACCCTACACCACTTTATTGGGGAGGGTATATTGGGTTTGTGCTTATGTTTGTAACGATTTAGCTATGTCCGTCTATCGTACATCATATTCTATTGTCTCAGTGACGAAGCCTGTTGAAAATGGTTATGATCGGTCCATTATTTCACCTAGCCCCCATACAACTGAACCCCCGAAAAGGGCTTGTAAACCTTGTTATCAAAGTACAGGTCGCAATTTTGAAGATAATTCAATGAAATTTCGCACATGATCTTCTTTTATACTAGAGACAAATTCTATTGAAAATGAGTAACATCAGTCCAATTTTTGACCTAGCCCCCATACCACTGAACCCCCCGAATACGGCTTTTAAGTTCATAATTATGTTCAATAAACTCGTATCTCGACAAAAAGCTGCAAAACCAAGTTCTATACTAGCCTTCATGACCCTGATGAATTTTTTGACGATATGACCTCATTTGACCATAGTCAAAGCCTTCATTTGAAACATGACTTAAATGTACACAATTTTATTTAATAAAAAATGACTAAAGTATATCTGAGACAAGGTACAATTCAAATTAAATGCTTTATTATAAACACTAAATCATATTTTTTTATAACTGGTGTAGGGTATTATATGGTGGCCCTCGCTCGACTATAACTATAACTGCGAGTTGTAGCATGTGTCAAACTCCAGGTTGTGCAACCATATAGTAAAATGTAAGAAAACCAAATGTCTCTTCGACATGGTCGTAGAGCCCATACTGTTGCTAATAATAACAGGGGGCCTTCGAACCACTCTATCGAAGGATTTTTTTGTCATTATGCATTGTTTACTTGTTGCCCTCAAATCAGCAATTAGACCCCGTGCAATCGGTATATGACATATGACACAGTCAGGCCACTCTACCATAATCAACCGTTTGGGATATTGATTACTACATCTCCAAACCATCTTTTGAAAGAAGCAATGTCGATTCAAGTCGATTCAACACGATCTAAATGTAATAACTGGGCACTAGCCTTTCGAGTTCCATGTCAGAATACTGAACTTACCCAGTAATGACTTTTTCAAGAGCTGTAAAGACGAAGATGAAGATGAGAGTATCACTCACTTTTCTCTTTAAGAGTATCACAAAGGGATCAACAAAATAAACACAAATATGTCCCCAATGATAACAACACATGTACAATCTGCTAACCTAAACTACTGATATTCTTACCGAATCCTTAGTCCAGTTTCAAGTTCATCCAGTTACGGAGGATCAATCACATGCTAAGGAACAGGTATATATGTATACTACGTGATTTTCTATATAACTATCAGGCAAAAGGTGTTTCGAGGTAAACCACAGATTATCAATTTGTGCCCTTTACTCTGGGTAACCACGAATAATAGCCTCCTGAAGACCCTAATGTCTGCAACGCCATGTCATAAGGGAAAGGATTCAAATTACTTGTGTAGAAGGGCAGAAGAGACCCTAAACACGGTTGAGCATTTTATAAGGAAGACGAAAATTCTTTACAACCATTAACCTTGTTTCCTGTACCAGTGACCGACAGAGTTAAGTACTTAGAGGTAATGCTTGACCGCCAGTATGCCGATATCAGGCGATAAGATTAAATATGAAACCGTATTGGACTGTAAGAGTGCCTTAACCGAAAAGTCTTCCAAGGGTTAGCGTTGCATTATATGGATACCAGGCCACTCGCAAATAATCGATCACATAAGGTCAAATATACTTGCTATAAAGTGAAAGAAAATGGAAGAAGTTAGCTTAATGAATGCAAAACCGTTTGACGTAATGAGGGCTGAATAAAAAACTTGTGTCACTTGGAATAATGAATGAGGTCGAGAAGCCTTCTCATAATGGGCAAATTTGAGTTAATAGATTCAGACTCTCAGTGCACACACAACTATACAATGAGTCAATTCTGACGAATGTAGAAAAACTGGACAAAATGTTTCTAACATTGCCAGGCTTTTGTCGAATTTAGATCCAACTATCTCGGGAGCGATGTTAATCCAGCGAAGTTCTGAGTGAATGAGAATCTATAAAAGATGAAAAAGGTGTTTCGAGGTAAACCACAATATATCAATTTGTACCCTTTACTCTGGGTAACCACGAATAATAGCCTCCTGAAGACCCTAATGTCTGCAACGCCATGTCATAAGGGAAAGGATTCAAATTACTTGTGTAGAAGGGCAGAAGAGACCCTAAACACGGTTGAGCTTAACCGAGATAGCTAAATGTCAACTCGGCAAAGACTTAAATCAATCTTTTTACAAGAAAGACAAAAATTCTTAACAACCTTGAACCTTGTTTCCTGTACCGGTGACCGACAGAGTTAAGTACTTAGGGGTAATACTTGACCGCCAGTATGCCGATATCAGGCGATATGATTAAATATGAAACCGTATTGGACTGTAAGAGAGCCTTAACCGAAAAGTCTTCCAAGGGTACCAGGTCACTCGCAAATAATCGATGACATAAGGGTAAATATACTTGCTATAAAGTGAAAGAAAATGGAAGAAGTTAGCCTAATGCATGCAAAACCATTTGACGTAATGAGGGCTGAATAAAAAACTTGGGTGATAGAATTCCATAAGGTCACTTGGAATAATGGATGAGGTGGAGAAGCCTTCTCATAATGGGCAAGTTTGAGTTAATAGATTCAGACTCTGAGTGGACACACAACTATACAAAATTGGATGAGCCGATTCTGACGAATGTAGAGAAACTGCAAACTTTTTTTCTAACATTGCCAGGCTTTTGTCAAATTTAGATGCAACTATATCGGGAGCGATGTTAATCCAGCGAAGTTCTTAGTGAACGAGAATCTATAAAAGATGAGTTTTTCATTTTTTTAATTTCTGGAATGGAATATAGATCCAAATCACATCCAAACTAAAATTAGATGCAACTATCTCGGGAGCGATGTTAATCCAGCTAAGTTCTGAGTTAATAAGAATCTATGAAAGATGACTTTTTAATTTTTTTAATTTCTAGAATGGAATATGGATCCAGATCACATAAAATTAATTTTACGCGGTCCTGATTAAATGACAATTATAAATGGAAACCTTTAGGTACTTATTCGTTCATAAAATGGTACTTTTTAAAATTTTCTATAATATTAGGCTGAAAAACGATAAATTAAACATGTACTCCAAAACCAATGTGCCAATAAAATAGTATCCTGTTGCATATGTCTCAATAAACAAACAACAAGAATGTATCGCAACAATGCTGTTAAACAAAATTCTCCTCATCCAATGTTTTTTAAACAAAATCCAGAATTTATGAATGAATTTCGTCCTCCTCAAACACATATACAAAACTCAACATGTAGCAAATAAATGTGTCTATAAATATGTTTGTATATGTGTGGTCCGCATTTAATTATAACTTATCATAAATTTGCATATTAATAAAAAAAATATTTTTATATAAATATGTTTATATGTGTGACATATAAATTAAAAACAATATGTTATTTTTGTGAACGGTCAAGTATTTTAATACATACATGTATACAGGTAAACAATTCCTATTAAAAATTAATTAAAATTTTGTAATCGTCATTTCTATCTCACATATTGTTGCATGAGTAAAATTATAAACATGTGACATTTTTCATTAAACAAGTTGTTTTTTTTAATAATTTTGTTTAATCATTTGGAAAAGTTATTAATATGTTATTTTGTTCTAAACATGTAATTTGTTTATCTAAATAAAACTGTCTGTTATTTACATCACATGACATTTTTTAAATTAATGCCAGTAGGTGGTGGTTAAGGTTTATGGAGTAATTTAAATGGACATCAATTGTTTATGCTCTATTCTCTAGATTAATGAGTGGGATATATTTTTATATTTTTTAAAAACAATGTAATATGAAAGCATAAAGAATGCATTTATATTAAAGATTATAGTATCCCAACAAAAACTTGAACGACTTGTACTTAGCCAATAACTTACTACTACTTTTTACTTCCTGGCATTTTGTTTTCGAATTTTTTTTTATACAAACGGTTAAAATAGTATATTTGTGTGAAAAGTGAAGCATTGGATATGAAGCAAAAACTAGGTAATTTACTCCTTATTACCAACTTATCATGTTAAGTACTCTTTTAACTCCCTCTTTGTAAGCGTGCCTCCAATGTCATCGCCCTGTCAAACTAAATAATGACTTAAAATATTATTATGCAAGTAATTTTTACCACTTACTTGGTAATGAAAGTTTTTGCTGGGATATGTTAGTTAGTAAAACATACTTAATAAAAAACTACTTAGAATATTACAATCTCCCCACATTATTTTATTATAGAGGTATACGACTTATCTGACTATGCTATTAACTATACTATAGCCTGTTATATGGACTAGTCTATAAATTATTCTATTCTATTATTCTCTTCTATTCTATATTCTCTTGATTAATTAGTTGACTAGTATATTAACTAGTTTATGAAACAGTCTATTGACTAATTTTCGAAAAATTTTTAGGTTAGATTAGGTAAGATTGAAAAGGGAATGTATTTTACATATCGGACCTTTACATGGAAAAAAAATTGCTGGAGAAACTTATTTAGCGATATATGAAAGGAATTATCGTCTAATTATTAGTAACTTAGTTTTCTGGATAGAGTTCCTTTTCCAAGCAGTGTTAGAGAGCGTTATAATATCTGGAATAAGACAGCTTCCAAGATATTTAGATCTTATTTCGATCAAAGTCTGGCATTTGTTCCAGCGTTGTCCTCTTCATACTAACCTATCACTCCTGAGGTGGCTTCTCGTGCTTACTCTCTTTAGGATTGCTACATAGGATCTTTATGGTTTTACCTATGTTTCATTATGCCAAGTGGCCGTATGGGATTCTGTTTCCCATGTTTTTATTCGGCCGTCGTTGCGTCGTACGGAGTACTATCCATGTGGTATTTCCAGTCTTGCCAATTTGACGTTTTTCCCTTCAAATCTGAAGTTTTTTTGAATTGGCAATTGCGGGAAAAGTGCGTTTTAGAGGTTAGTAGAAAATTTGGAGATTTTTAAAGAACGTTTAGAGATTTCTGGCGTTTTACCCAAGTCAAATCACATATTTGTAATATTTCAAATATAAAATGGAGTAATTTCAAATGACTATAGTCTAATCTTAGGTCTAGTATATAATCTAGTCTATAGTATAGTGTATAGTGTATAGTCTAGTCTATAGTCGAGTGTATAGTTAGTTTATAGTCTTGTCTATAGTATAGTCTAAAATCTAGTCTATGGTCTAGATTATAGCCTAGTGTATAGTCTAGTCTTGAGTCAAGTCTATAGTATAACCTATAGTATAGTGTATAGTCTAGTCTATAGTACAGTCTATAGTCTACTCTATAGTACAGTTTAGACTAGACTATATCCTTGTTTATAGTCTAATCTTTCTAATCATCTGAAGTCTAATCTAAATTCTAGTCTGGGTTATAGTCTAGTCTACAGTCAAGTCCCAAGATCCGGGACTCAATATAGGCAGGAATTTCGTCGCTCGCCCAGTCTATAATTTCATATTGTAAAATTAAATCCAGAAGAAATTACACGATATAAAATTATTATTAATATTAAATTTAATGAATGATCAACTCAAGTTAGCGTGCACAAATATTAATCATTTTAAAGGCAAATTTAATAAGATATATACATATTTCCTTAAGAAACCATCTAAATATAGATCATTAATAACCTCATTTCATTTAACTTTAGATACATTAAATGAGCATTAAATTGTTAACGCATTCTATTCGATTGGCTTAATAATGTGGTATCCTTTATTATTTATATCTCACAGTTTAGTTCCTATATAAACTAAATGGAAACTTAACATCAATATACTTTATAAATATTTTACCAAAACATTTTTTTTTTATGGATGAAAAGTGAATATTTATTAGTTTAACGAAGTAAAAGAAAAGTTACAAACTATCTAAACTGTATTATCGCAATAACTGTGCTTGAGGCAGCAACAGAGTTTTAATCCATAACTTATAGAAGATTGCATGCAATTTGACGTAAATAAGATAAAGTTTTGACAGATAGTAAGAGTTAAGTGGAAGTAAGTTATTAAAAAGGATACTTGCGTTTGTTGTTATTAGACGGATCTTTGAAAAATATTAAGGAAAAAGAGATAAAATACATAAATGAATGTTGACATTTATGAATGAAAAGGAATGTTAGTTTTGTTTAATTTAATTAATTTTAAAGGAATTGTTGTGCTGTGCTTAAATATTATAGAAAAACATTTTATAAAAAAATTTTTATATAAACAACCAAGTCTCCGTCTCTAGATTTAAACCTCTAGAAAAATTTTGGACGTTAGGACCACGTTAACTGGTGGCGCCACGTTGTGAAGTTAAAAATGGTTTTTGCAAAAATTATATAGTGTAAACCGTATTTGGGCTATAGTCTTAATGGGAAACCCTTCAGACAGCCGTTTCAAAACTCCAGCTACAAACTTTTAATAATTTTGTTAAGCAAAATTTTAAATTTTGAGAAGATCTCCATGTGTCTTATGGACAATAAAAAAGTGAATAAAATAGTAAAGGAATTAGGTCGATATCTCCCACAGATTAGGGGTAGCTGCGATTTAAAATTTGAGTATTTCACAGAAAACTATTTTTTGGTAATAGCCTTAATTTCTGACTTTATGTATTTTATATTAAATCATTTCAGAATATAAAATTTCAGATAATAGAGAACATATGTATATCTGAAGTTTTAGTAAAATCGAGTAACGTTAACCCATAAACTGTGAATGTCAAACTTAAGCTATGGAATATTGAGATATTTTATTGAAATCATAGTGAAATATTAGCTTGTTTTTAAATTAAACTTAAAAAATATATATAATGAAGACCCGTTTTCATGGTGACATTGAAAAAATCGAAATTAACCCTTAAACGTAAATATATTTTCATAATAATATATGTAATGTTCGTAATATAAATACATACGAAGTAAATATTGCGAGCAAATTGTGGGTGAGAGAAAAAAACGGTCTCAGATTCGGTTTCATAAGCTAAAAATACAATAAAATCAGTCGAATTGGTTTCAAAAGCTATTACAAACCTTAAATTCGTTGGCCTGTGTTATTATTTGAGATCCCAGATTTTAAAATCGTCAAATCAACTAAATTAAAAATCAACGACTTATAACTTATTTTAATATGTATGTTTATAAAATAGAATAATGTCCAGTAATCGCGTTACCAACAATTTTTGCAAAACAGGGCCATCTATTGTTTGTTGTATAATATTATATTAATGTTTTGAACTACTCACCGAAAGATGACACTACCAGTCTCAAAACCTTCTATGCCGATATTGTAATTTTAACTACTTAGATATAGATGGCACCACCACTTCATTTGTACCACCTCGATTCAAAATCAAATAATTTGAATTCTTCTTCGACATTTATTTAAATAACAAATTAATAAATCGTACTATATGTACTTTTATAATAGCATTTTATATAAAAGAAAATTAATGGGTCGATTATGAACAACCAGCAGAAAGTAAGATGGAAACAACTGTTTCACTTTGTTTGTATGTGTTTACATAAAATTACATCCCTAATCTACGAAGTGGACGTTCCACTTCGTACTCTTCTACACCAAATTTTGACAGATCATATTACTTGTTTACTCGTGTAAAGGGGGCTTTAGTTGCCAAAAAAAGTTATCGATATTGTGTCATCTGTGATTATTTTTACAGAGTTGCAACTAAAAAATGTAAACAAACAATTAAAAATATGGATACAATACTAAATTAAAGTAAATTTGCGAAAAAATTATAAAATTAATTCAGAAATGTAGTTCCAAGCAGAGATACAAGCCGATGAGAAATGATCGGCGGCGGCGGCGCAACCAATTTGGGTCTGCGGCGGCGGCTTGTTACAGAAAATATCGGCGGCGGCTAAATTGTCGGCTCAATTTAACTTTTTCTTTAGAAATTGACCTTATAAGGTTTATTATATTGAAAAATCTTTGTATAATAGTCTGTTACATAGAAACCTGTCTCTATATAAGTTTTTTTCTGCAGAAAATGGACATTTATAGTAGTTTTCACTATTTTAATATTAGCACAATATTGTGTGGCAACTCTTTTCAATTTGCCATAAGAATTTAAAATAGTGCAAACTCCGTTCAATTTGGTGAAATTATGTTCTGAAATAAATGTGTGATTCTAATCTTTATCAGCGGCTACGTTTAAGCCGGCTTAGCTTTTGAGCCGAAAGAAGTCGGCGGCGGCGCGGCTTGCAAAATATTACCGACGATTTGAGCCGTCTCGGCTTGTATCTCTGGTTCCAAGCGGTAAAATCAAAATTCATTTTTTGTCATTTCAAAACCACTTCTGACAATGATTGCATTTTCTTACAACTAGTCTATTCGCTAGACGATAAAGCGGACTATAGACTAGACTTGAGACTAGAATATGTGCTGGACTATAAACCAGACTATAGACTAGACCATAGACTAGACTTTAGACTAGACTATAGACTAGGTTATGGACTCGAATGTAGACTCGAATATAGATTAGACTATAGACCAGACTGTAGAACATATTATAGACTAGACTATAGACTAGACTTCAGACTATACTAGACTAAAGACTTGCCTATTGTCTACTATGTGCATCACTTATCAAAAGTTTATAATTAAGAAAAAGTACCGATATTGTTGTGGGGTTACCGCGGTATTTTTCAAAATAAAAAGTACTAAAGTAATGAGTTTTCCATGCCTGAAGTATATATTCAGTATAAAATTGTGGGTGCTAAAGCATAACATATATCAGATTGGGCTTCAGCACCTGGTTTTAAAAGTTTTTCCAAATCTTGATTTCGTTGACCTGTGTTACTAATTCAGAAATATTCATTATTAAATTTTTAATTTACTTTACTGCGCATTACAATATTTGAAGACGGTTAACGGCGCCATCTAACGATAAGTAGCTGTACAAGCAATAACAGTTCCACTATAAAATGCAACTCCTCCTATGAATTTTTGGTGTTGTTAATTCTTTCATTAAAGAACGAAGATATATTGTTTAATATTTAAGATTTGATTTATATTTTTAAAATTTCAGTGAAACATTTTTGATTGTATTTATTTTTTGTAAAGTATTTTAATAACAAGTAAATAAATACAAGTTATATAAACTATATAAATAAATTTTTGTAGATGTGTAATTTTCTTAAAAATCGCTGCATTGGTTTCCCATAAACATTTCTCTAAAAGCGCTACTTTAACCACACTGAATACAACCCTAGAAATATAAGTGAAGAAAAAAGTAAAATGGCGTGAAAATTGTGTTGCTGCATATTGAAAATGCTCACAAAATTTTACAAAAATCAATTAAAATATCATAATAAAATAATTTAATTTTAAAAAATTAAAAAAAGTGTTTGTAATTTTAGAAAAATTTATTATTAATCAAGCTATATAAAAGAACTACGGTGAAAAAAGTCGTGAATATAATTACGTGACTGGAAAAAAGCAAAATGCAGAAACAGCAATTTATTGAAGCATTTCTCTTACCACAAACATAAGAGCGAAAGAGATGACAAAAATACACCAACAAAAATAACGCGTAAAGAAAAAATTGACATTTCAACGAAAACGAATTGAAAAAAAGAACGTTTGCGGTGACCAGAAAAATTTGTGAAATTTTCTAAAAGAAAAATAATAATAGTGAATAAATAAAACAAAATAAAAAAGAAAATATATATGAAATTATAGTTACTATAAAAAAGCGTAATAAAATTTAATTTGTTTGTGTATTTCAACACAAAAACAACATTTGTTTACATTCGAAAACAAAATTTGTAAGGTTCTAGATCTAGAACTTTTAGTGTTAAACCCAATTTGAAGTATAATTTCGTGTTTGTTTTGCATACGAATTATTCAATATAATATCGTTTAAAGTAATTTATAATGTCCGGCGGTGGACGAGACTCCACTAGCAGTAGTGGCACCAACAGTAGCAGTGGTAGTAATGGTGTCTCTTCCTCAGCAGTGGCTACCACTCCCACATCCACCGGCCAGTCAGCGAATCAAAGATCTCGGGGTCGTCCCGCTAAGCGGGCCACCTGTACCTGGTGTGGCGAATGTAAACAACCTTTGCAGTACGTATTGCCCACCCAAAATGGTAAAAAAGAATTTTGTTCGGAAACCTGTATAGCGGAATTCCGTAAGGCTTACAGCAAAGGAGCCTGCGCTCAGTGTGACAATGTTATACGCGAGGGAGCTCCTAATAAAGAATTCTGTTCGTTGATGTGTATGAATAAGCATCAAAAGAAGAATGGCTCCACCCGTTCCCTCAATAATGGTACACGTACGGATGGCGCCAATGTAGGCAAGAATATGGGAGGTGGTGGTTCCTGCACACCCACAGGACCATTTCAATATGAAAGTTTTCATGTTTTCGATTGGGATGCTTATTTGGAGGTATTTATTCATATAAATTTAACATAAACTAATAAAAATAAACTATTTAATACAAACTTTCAAGGAAACTGGTAGCGAAGCTGCTCCGGCCGATTGTTTTAAACAAGCTCTAAATCCACCCATGAATGATTTTAAGATTGGTATGAAATTGGAAGCTTTAGATCCGCGTAACGTTACCTCCACATGTATTGCCACTGTGGTGGGTGTTCTTGGCTCACGTTTACGTCTGCGCCTTGACGGCAGCGACAGTCAAAATGATTTTTGGCGTTTAGTTGACTCGAATGAGATTCATGCCATTGGTCATTGTGAAAAGAACGGCGGCATGTTGCAACCACCACTTGGCTTTCGCATGAATGCCTCCAGCTGGCCCGGTTACCTCTGTAAAATTTTAAACAATGCCATGGTAGCACCGGAAGAGATTTTCCAACCAGAACCGGCCGATCCGCCAGAAAATCTCTTTCAGGTGGGCCAAAAGCTCGAGGCGGTCGACAAAAAGAATCCTCAATTGATTTGCTGTGCAACAGTTGATGCGATTAAAGACGACCAAATCCATGTGACATTCGATGGGTGGCGCGGAGCGTTCGACTATTGGTGCAGCTACAAATCTCGGGATATTTTCCCAGTTGGTTGGTGTGCCCGTAGTTGCCATCCAATGCAACCGCCCGGTCATAAATCACGCATGGATTCCAGTTCGAGTAAACATCGTAGTCCACGTCAACGTTATGCTTTGGTCCAAGAAACCGATGCCATGGTCCCAGCCACACCCGTCACAGCTCACTTTCATACCAATTGTAAAGGTGGTCCGTTCATCAATAGCTCAAAGCTTCCATCAATGGTTACGGGTCCCACACATCAGACCTTATCGAAATTATGCCTGCAAGAGGTATTAGCAGCTAGTACGGATACACAACAATTATCGAAACTATTGTTTGCTTTGGATGGTGATGTCCATATTGTTACAGCGGCTGGGAAAAATTTTACGGTGAGTAGTAAATGTAGTGAAGAGATGTTGTATTATATCTATAAACTTTAGTTTTTGGTTTGTCGTTTGTTTTTAATCCATCTTTGAAAGAGTTGTTTTTTTGTTATTCCGCTTGTAATAGCTTTGAGTGCTGAAATTTTTCACAATTATTGTCTATTAATAATTTTTTTCTTGTATTGTATATGGGCTTACGATTTCACTTAGTTACCACACAAAGATCATGAAATTGAGGCTCATTTTCACTTTAAATGTTTTTACTTTTCTGTATTTACGTATTTTTAGTTTTAATTACGAGAATTGTGATGAAATTGCCATCAATACAGATTCTGTATGTGTATCATGTTAAAAAAAATCTCATTAATATGAATCATCTTTTTTATGATAAATCAAATGAGAATATGTGTAAACAAATTACTATTTCAAATTTAAGAAGCCTAAACAATTTTCGATTAAAGAGTTTGTTCCAGAATTAATGTTGAATGATATCTAAAAGAACTAGAACAAGTTCTTTAGATCCACAGATCTTAACACCTTTTCGTAAATAGAATTAGCTGCTTGAATTCCATTAAAAAAACTTGTTCCAGATGGTACGAAACGACATTTTACGTATATATTAGAATTACGTTTTATTTCTTCATTCAAACTATGAAATGGTGTCCTTGTACTAAATATCTTTAATTGTGTTAATTTTTATTTTCTGCACACAATTGTACAATTCCAAACAAAATTTTCCTAATTTCAGGTAAGAATTTAGAACAAAACATTAACATTCCACACTATTAGGTAAAACTAATTTGCATATAAAGAAATATGGACTTAAACACAGTCAAGTTAATCCCCTACACCTTTGTTGACTAATCTCATTTTAAACACAATAATTTCATGAAAAAAACCCTAAATAAAATTTTCTTTCCTTTACAAAAGGTTAAAATACCGTCACCATTACGCATGAAAGATGATGAAAGTTTGGCACAATTTATTGAAACATTATGTACAACATGCAGGGCATGTCCAAATCTAATTTCACTCTCACCTGATACAGAGGACTGTGAAAAATGTGCAAATACCAAGAAAAGGCAATTGACACAAACTGGGGATTGTTCGTCGGCAGCGGTACCAGAAAAACGTAGTAAAACACCAGCTAGTGCTGAGAAAATCAACATTAAACAAGAAGTGGCGACATCAACGACTACAGCCAATACAAGTGTGGATAATTTTGGCAATACAAGTAATAGTACACAAGCAACATCTACAACAACATCTACAGTCTCCACAACTTCATCATCACTCTCATCATCGTCTTCTTCATCATCGTTAACATCTTCTCTATCGACAACAAAAGCTAATCTAAACAATGCGATTAATCAGCAAACGCAACACAGTGGTGTGTCAACGCTAAAGCAGCAACAACAGCATCAAGCAAATCATACAATTATTACAAGTAGTAGTATTAACAGCAACAATAGTACCCCAATAAGTGGTACAGCAATTATGTCAACATCAAATGGCACTACTAGCAATAGCATCAACAACAACAACAATAATATATTGTCAAATGTTCACATTAAAACTGAACCAAATATCAACAATACAAATGGCATACAGGTAAGATTCGTAAAAAAAAACAAACTTAAAAATCTTTTATACAACTATTTTATATACTATTGTTTTCCAGACCGCTTCGCCCGTACAAGCTCTAAGACAAATACGTATACATCATTTAAGTGGTAATATTGGCAGCAATGTTTCCACTGTAACAGGCACAACATCAACCACAACCATGGTTGTAAATTCTCATACTGATGAACAAAAACATTCTACTCTTACCTCAAACTCGAATTTCAAATATTTAGCACCTCTGGTTGCTGAAGTGCATCCAGAACAGTCTAATATAACGGCAGCTACTGCTGCTGCCGCCTCAACAACATATAAATCTCCTTCCACATTGTCATCAACTGCTTCGTTACCTACATCAGTATCAACGCCGTTTTGTGCTTCACAATCGGCTTCATCAACAGCTGCTGCTGCCACAGCTGTTATACCTTCCACATCAACATATGGCCCCTCCACAGTTACTATACCCATACAACATGTAGTGAATGCAGCAAATGGTGCGTTGGGTGGTGTGGTGGCGACGTCAGCGGCATTGCCGCCATTACGATCCCATCCCGGGGACTGGTCTATTGAAGAAGTTATACAATTTATAGAAAGTAATGATAGTTCGTTAGCTGTACACGGTGATCTCTTCAGGAAACATGTAAGTAGTTATGTAAATAGTTATCAAATTTTATGGGAAAAATTTAAAAAAGCTTTTAATAAAAGAAGACTTTTTAAAAAATTTTAACCTTTGTTGAAAAAAGAGCCATATTGAAAAGAAACAACAAAAGCTTTCAATTAAAAATCTTCAAAAAGTTTTTCTGCTCGCAACATAGCTTTTTCAAAAGCTTTTCTCACAATTGAAAAAAAATATTTTTCCACAAAAAATAGTAGTTTTTTTTAAACATTTTATTAAATATAAAAAAATTTTGAAAATCATCACTTTATCACAAAATGAAAAATTTTTCTCTAAAAAGCTTTTTTCATGAAAAAACTAGTTTTTCTCCAAAAAGCATGTTTATCGTGTTTGTCTTAAAAGATCTTTCTCACAAATAGCTGGTATTTTATTAAAAGCTCTGTTTTACTATAATTTACCATTTAACTAAAAAGCTCTTTTTCATAATAAATCTATTTTTTTTCTTAAAGCTCTTTTTCAAAAAAAAACTTCGTATATATCTAAGGAGCTTATTTTCACAAGAATCCGCGTTTTAAAGCTTTTTTGACAAAAAGCTCGTATTTTCTTAAAAGTTATTTTTTCACAAAAAACGCGTAATTTTGTCACGAAAACTCGTTTTTCTCTAAAAAAGCTTGTTTTTCCTAAAATATTATATTTCACATTAAAAGCTCTTTTTTTACAAAAAGCTCGAACTTTATTACTCTTGAAAATCTCGTATTTGTCTCAAAAGCTTTTTTTCACTAATAGCTCGAATTTTATTAAAAGCCATTTTTACCATAAGCTCGTGTTTACTTAAAAAGCTCTTTTTCACACAAAATTTTTTTCTTAAAGCTCTTTTTCAAGAATTTTTTAAAGCTAATTGTCTTTATCTCAAAAGTGCTTTTTCACAAAAAATATTTTTTGTTAAAAGTAATATCTTTCACAAAAATCTCGTATTTATCTAAAAAGCTCGTGTTTTCTCAAAAGTAATTTTTTCGTATTTATTTCAAAAGTTTATTTTTCTTATAGATATTTTCATAAAAAGCTCCTGTTTTTTTGTAAGAATTTTTTTCTAAAAAATATTTAAAATATCTTTTTTAATAAAAAGCTTTTTTTGCTAAAAAGCTTTGTTCTTCAAGAAGCTTTTTTCGCAAAAATTTTACTTTTCCATTTTCACAAATTTTAATTATTTTATTTATATTTTCAGGAAATTGATGGCAAAGCCTTGTTATTGTTAACCTCCGAAATGATGATGAAATATATGGGTCTCAAACTTGGACCAGCCTTAAAAATTTGCAATTTAGTTAATAAAGTTAATGGGCGTCGTAACAATATGTCCCTGTAAATATTCCATGATAAATCTCCATTCCTAATTATCCTAATTAACACCTCTACCTAATCCATCAACCAACCAACCAATCAAACCAATTATTATAAAAAAAACTACTAATTACCCTTAACCAAAAACACCAAAATAATTCATTCTCAACACAACAACACATCTAAAATTTACATAAAAAACACAACAATACAAACCATGATCTTAAATTAAATTTAAAAAATATTAATACATACGCAACACAAAAACATATACATATATAAAATTCAAATGCAGTTAGAAAAAAATTACAAAAAATAAAACATACAAAATACCCATACAACAAAATTAAAGAAAAAAACGCATATAAACGAAAATTATATTTAAAAATATATAACTAGACAAGAAGAAAACAAATGAAGATAAAAAATATGTTAATCCAAATGATAAAGCAAAAAAACATATAAAATCGTTAAATTTTTTACACATTACACACAGACAGTCAAAAACATCACAAAACACAAACTACTTTATCGTTACTTGAAGTTTATTTTCAAATTGGTTTTCTGATTTCAAACATTTACACCAGTTTTTACGTTGTATAAAGTACACACTACTGTATTATTAGAGTTGATTATTTTTCCTTTTTTTTTCTAAATATTAGTTGGTTAATTTCTATTTAACCAAAATGCGTTAATTTTTTTAATTTTTAAATTTGTTGTTACATTATTATTTTTTAACATAGTTTTGAATTTTAGTTTAACTTTTATTTTATTATTTTTTATAGCATTTTGATTTTGAATTAAATTGTATGAATATTTTTAACTAAAACACAAATTATTACTTTTAATATCAGCAAATGTCTAACATATGCAAATAACACAAACAAAACAAAAAAAATATAAATTTTATTTTAATAGTTAACTTAAGTTTTGAAAAGTATGTGACATAAAGATCAGTCAAGTGAATTCTTTGTTTCAAATTAAAAATAAATTTTAACTATTGATTTTATTATAAATTTAATTTTTAGCCTTTTAAGTCCAGACAAAAGTATAGTAGTATGAAATGAATTTAGTTTTAGATTTGAAAATGAAAAATTATAACGAAAATAAAATTAGCATAAAGCT